TTTTTTTTTTTTTTTTAACTTAATGCTGGTTGCAAACCACTAAGTTGACTTCATGACCCACTAATAGGTTGAGACCCACAGTTTGAAAAAGTGCTAAGGTGGGCATTTGTGGTCCTATTCCAACGTGGGGTCCTCATATATGTCATATACAATCACCTTTCCCCATGGTGCCTTTAAACACTGGTCTGGAGTGGGGTCAGCAGACAACAGTCAGTTAGGCTACTTGCTTTCGTAAATAATGTTTTATTGGAACACACAATGGTCATTATTTTATATATGATGGGATGGTAGGTGATGGATAAGGTCAGAGAAATAGGCAGGAGCCAGCTCATGTGGGTCAAGGCAAACCATTTGGCTTTTCATCCTGCTTCTCATTGCCTGCCTGTTCCTTCCCTGAGGTCTTCCAGGTAACTTCCTGTTTGAGGGGAACTTCAGGACAGGAGCCATGAGAAAAAACAGCATGTTCATGGTCAGAGTGGGATAAATCTTGAGGAGGGAGAACCAGAGACATAAGCCGCCACTCGTATCCTGGAAAAGCCCACCGTCTGGTCAGGGAGACACCCACACATGACACATCTTAGCACAACGTGAGGCGAGCCCTGACAAGTGAGAGTGGAGAGTTTTGGGGAGAGCCAGCAATTAACTGAGCCTGAGGGATTCTGGAAGACTTCTCAGAGAGGTGGTGTTTAATTTTGCCTCTTAAAGGATCTGAGTAGAGAAACTGGGGACAGCCTATATCCCGGGTATCAGTTATTTGTCAAATGAGCTATGGGCCTTCTAAGTAGAAGTGCAGAACTGGGAAATAAATTTCTTTTTAGAGGAAATGATGTGAAGGAAGAGTACGGTTCAGTCAGGAGACCAGAAAGGTAGGTTGAGACCAGATTAAGAAGCACTCCAGATGTTCACAGGCAGGAGGGGATGTCACCAGGAAGGCTGGGATCAGCTTTCCAGATGGATCATTCTGGAGCTGGCGTGGACAGTGGGTGGCAGGAGAGGTGAGATTGCTGAGCCAGTGATTTTGATGTGGTGGCCTGAGCTGGTGGTCGTTGGGATGGGGAGCAGTGGATAAAGACAGGAGAGATGTGAAGGGTAGCAGGACCCTGGACCTGGGGAGTGGAACAGAGGCAGGAGTTGAAGGCAGCTTAGGAGGCTCATAAAGGAGAGTGGCAGAAGATGGTGAACGAGTCAGAGATGGGGGTTCAAGTCCCAGCTCCACACCTTATTCTGTGAGCCTTGATGACCTCATCTGGAAGGAGGACATGATGCCCTCACCTTCCTCCTTGGATGGTTATGAGCACAGGGAGCGGGGGTGAACTTTTCAGAGCCTAGCACACAGTTAAGTGCTTGACAGTTGTGTTACGAGGGAGGAGTCCAGGCAGGAAGTCAGTTGTAAAGGACATTTTAGGAAGCTGTGGGCCTCCCCCAAAGAGCACGTATGTGCCAACTGGGGAGTCAGATTCCCTGGGGCCCTTCCATAGAGTTGAGATTGCACCTCTCTGGGGTAGGCTGGAGCCCCCCACCCTCCCTCTGACCAGCCCTACCCCCTCACAGACTCTGATGCCACTGCATCTTCAGATAACAGCGAGACAGAGGGAACACCCAAGTTGTCGGACACGCCAGCCCCCAAGAGGTGGGAAGAAGCCATCGTTCTTCTCTGGGGGTGGGGGTGGGTGGGGGCACCTGGGCCTCCTAGCTGCCTCTGACACACAACCCCCGTACTTTCTCCAGGAAGAGAAGCCCTCCACTGGGGGGTGCCCCCTCCCCCTCCAGCCTCTCCCTGCCTCCTTCAACGGGGTTTCCCCTTCAGGCCTCCACGGCCCCCTCCCCGTACCTGAGCTCGGTGAGTTGCGGTCAAGGGTGGGAAGCGGTAACTGAGCCGCCTGGGAGTAAGGTGGGCATTGTTGGGCAGACGGGCCTCAGGGGGAGGCCAGCCCAACTCTGGGGACATCTGTCTGGGTGTGGCAGCAAGCGTCCGTTGGAGGGGTGTGAGTTGGGGCTGCCCACTTCTCTCTGGTGTAGGAATGGGGGACAGGCGTGACTGAGGAGAGCAGAGCTCAGGACATAGTCCTGCTGCTGTCCCCTCCCCTTCTGTTCTCAGGAGCCACACTCATCACCACCTCTTGTTTTTCCATTCCTCCTCCTGTTTGCGTTTCTTCCCTCCCCGCCCACCCCATCCACTCCATTTCCCATCTCCATCCCCTCACTCCCGCCTGCAGCTGGCTTCCCCCCCCTACCCCCCATTCCCTTCTGACTACCTGGCCCTGCAGCTGCCCGAGCCCAGCCCCCTGAGGCCCAAGCGGGAGAAACGGCCCCGCCTGCCCCGGAAACTCAAGGTACCCTGATTGGGGGATGTTAGGGAGGGGCCAGAACGGCAGGAGGACCGCCATCTGAGGGAGGCTCAAGATGGGCTGGGGCCTGTCCGAGAACTTCCAAGGATTGATTTGGGGCTGCTGGGGGCCCAATCTAGGGCTAGGCGCTGAGGGGTGGGTCAGAGATGTCCTGGCCCACAGACTTGATGTGGAGAAAAATGAGGGCAGGACCCGCCTTGGGGCACTCAGAGCGAAGACTCTTGGGGACCAGGCTCATCGTTCACAGGTGGCCTGTGATGCCGGGCAGCCCCAGAGGACGGGCAGAGTTGTGGGATCTGGAGTCGAGTCAAGACTGCACCAGTTAGAAACCATGTGACCTTGAGCAGGTCTCTCTGACCGTCTAGGCCTCTTCTGCACGCGTAAATGAGTGCTCAAACCACATGTAGAATGAGTGTTCCTGGGGCACCTGCTGTGTACCAGGCACTGTCCGAGGTGCTGCCGGTGCGATAGCGAACAGAACAGACAAAAATCCCCGCCTTCACGAAGCTCCCATTCTAGCAAGAGAGGTGGAAAACAGACAAGATAAGTAGGTGCCAGCGCCGAGAAATGGGGCCAGGTAGAGCGGGTGGGAAGCTCCAGAGTAGAGAGGGGCTGGTATTGTGGGGTGGGTGGTCTGGGACATTGTTTGGTCAGAGGCTTAAAAGAAATGAGAAGCGAGCATGTGGCTCTCTGAACAGGTGTTTCAGGGAGAGCCAGCAGTGCAGAGGCCCCCAGCAGGAAGGAGGCCAGTGTGGTCGGAGGCAAGGGAGGGGTGGTGGGTGGTGGTGAGCAGGTCAGAGAAATAACCAGGGGGCAGGATGGTGGAGCGCCCTCTCGGTGTCGCAGAGACTCGCTTGTACTGTGAATGAAATGGGGAGCCGTTGCAGGAGGTCGGGCCGAGGGGAGTCTGCTCTGTTTTATGGAACTCACAGCTGTGTGGAGAACAGACCAGGGAGGCGCTGGGTCAGGATGCAAGTGGGGAGACCCCCGAGGAGGCTTCTGCAGTAAAGCAGGGTATAGAGCCGCCAAAAAGTGGCTGACGCATCGATTTCAAAGATGGAGCCGTGGGAAGACCAGCGCGGGCTGTGGGAAAGAGCGGAGCCCAGAGGCAGCTCCAGGGTTTGGGGCCCGAGCAACTGAAGAAGAGGGGTAGCCTCCCTCTGAGCCCGGGAGGCCCGGGAGGAGCAGCTGTGGGAGGGAAGACGAGGAGTTGGGACATGCTGAATACTGTCTGGAAAGGCCAGCGAGATACAGGAGGCCGCCAGCCTGGGGCTCGTGGGGTGCACTGAAGTCCTCAGCGTGGAGGTGGGTGTGATTGTTGGGGGAGAACATGGCTGGAGAGGGGAAGAGAGAGGCCTGCGCGCTGAGCCCCAGGAGAGAGTAGGGCCCAGGAGGCACAGTGCCCTTCCAGCTCCGAGTCAGGGTGGAACTGGGACTAGACAGGACAGCTTTCAAAGTGGGTAGACGGGGGCCAGAGGCAAAATGGGAGGTCACCGTTCGTGGTGGCTAGGAGTGCTGGTTCGGGGTTCAAATCCCAGCTCTGCCTCTTACCCTCCATGTGACCTTGGCCCCACACTCTCCGCGGCAGGCTTTTGCTTCTGGCCTGTAGGGTGGGATGGTGCGGAAGGCCAGGGGCGGTGAAGCCTGGAGCTGATGGGTGGAGGCGTGGCACGCGTGTGGCATTGCGGCGTGAGGCTGAGGTGCTGGGTCCTGACGGAGAGGTGACGGGGAGCTGAGTTGTGGCCATCGAGGAGAGAGGAGGTTGGTTGAGAGACGGGCCCAGATCAGTTGCTGTGGTGGAGGAGGGGGTAAATCAGGGAAGGCCTCAAAGAAGAGGTAACATCTGAGCCCAGGAGAGGTGAGATTTGGAAATTGCAGGCTCAGCAAGAGTGGAAGGAGGACAGGGATGTGGCAGAAGTATTGTTTGAGCTGACGCAGGAGGGAGAAGGGAGAAGGACAGTGGACAGAAACATAGGGTGAGGGGGGATCACAGAGGTCTGGGTGCCCAGGGCCAGGAGGTCCTTGTAAAGGGGTGGGCGTCACTGAAGTTTCTGGGTGGCTTGATCTGAGGAGACAAAGGACAGCCGTGAAAACAGGAGCAGGTCAGTTAAGGGCCTGGGCCCGTCAGATGGAGTGGGTTTGAGTCCTCCACACACTTTCCGGTGTGACCTTGGGCAAGTCATTTCACTTTCTGAGCCTCCGCTTTCTTCTCTGTTTGGTGGGGTCAGTGTGGAATAAAGTGAGTTTAGGGAGAGAAAACACATAGCCCAGTGCCTGGTCCCTAGTAAGCTGTGGATAAACAAGAGCTGCTCTTGGTCACACAGAGGCCATTGAGGAAGGCCAGGAAGGGGTGGGACGTAAGGACTAGGGTGGGGGTCCAAAGGTGGCAGCCAGAGGAGGGGGCCTGTCCTCATGGAGCTGGGCCTCTTGTCTGTCACCAGTCCTGGCCAACTCCTGTACCCTGAGGCACTGACCGGGAGGTAAAGGCCAACTCTGGCCCTCCACCACCCCAAGGACAGCAGTGGGGCTGGGGGCTCCTGGAGAGGCAGCCGGTAGGCCATGAGGGCGGAAGGTGTGAAAGCAGGCCCTGGGGGCCGCTGTAGAGACACACGTAAGCGCTTCCTGCCGCCGCCACCCGGCGTACAGGACCTGCCCAGCGGGGACCCAGCAGGCCTGTGCCTCGGAGTCTTCATTTGCAAGTCTCAGATTCCTCCTCTGGCCCGTGACCTCCCCTCCCTTCCAGGGTGGTCGGAATGGTCGTTAATGGCAGTCACCTGGCACGTAGCAGGTGCTGTTTGGGCCCACAGAGCTCTCTGGTAGGGTGGAGGGGGGGAGTCCTGGCAGGGGGCGGGGGCTGGAGGGTTGGGCAGGACAGAGGCCACGTCCCAGCCTCAGAGGACAAAGCAAGACTTTTGATGGCTAGAAAAGGACACTCCAGGTGGAGGGGCTGGCCTGTTGTCGGGCGCAGCTTCCCGCCTGTCCCTTGAGTGGGGGAATGACGTGCTCAGGTCTGTGTTTTAGAGAGCTCACTCTGGCTGCAGTGTGGAAGAGCTGACTCTGGGAGAGGCTGAAGGCAGGGAGTCCAGTTAGGAGGCTGGTACTGTAGCCCAGGTGAGCTGCCGGGATCCCAAGACAGAAGAGGTAGAAGCCTCACCCGGCGGGGGGGCAAAGGCCTAGGACAGCGTCCAGCTCACCAGTGAGTCCCGAAGTAGGAGGGAGAGGCCGGTGCCGGCAGCTGGGGTCCGAGGTGCCCAGAGGCAGGCAGGCTGGCACTGCGGGCTGGCTCCGACCAGCTCTAAGTGCTGTCACGGGGCAGCCAAGGGGCCTCCCTGGAGAGGGCGGGGCCCAGCCTTCCCCTCCTGGTTTCCTGGGAGACTCCCTCCCCACCACCACCACCACCCTCATTACCGCTTCCATCACCACCTCTCACCTGCAGGCACTTGCTGGGGTGAGATTCAAGGGGCTGAGGTGAGGCAGGCCCCCCCCCACTCCGATTCCGGCATTGGCTGGCCGGGCTGTGTCCACTGCCCCTGGCATGAGCCTTCGCCCCCCTCCCCTGTCCCCCCAGAACTGCCTTAAGAGGCCCCCGCCAGCCTTCTGGAGGTCCAGTGCCTCCCTGACCAGCCCTCCGTGTGTTTCTTCCCCCTGCTGCAGATGGCGGTGGGCCCCCCCGACTGCCCTGTGGGAGGGCCGCTGACCTTCCCAGGCCGGGGCTCTGGGGCCGGGGTGGGGGCAGCCCTGGCCCCACTGCCCCCACCCAAGATGCCTCCTCCCACGATCCTGAGCGCCGTCCCTCGGCAGATGTTCAGCGACGCGGGCAGCGGGGACGATGCCCTGGACGGGGATGATGACCTGGTGATCGACATCCCAGAGTGACCCCCTCTCTGGCCGAGCCCCCGCCCTGTGCCCGACGCCAGCACACACGAGCCCCCAGCTTCCGCAGAGACGTTTATTGACGCCCAGTTGCCATGCCGCGGCCACTGACACGATCAGAAGAGGCGTAAACATGCACGGATGTCCCCCGGGAGGTGGGTCCCCGTGGGGGTGGGGGTGGGGGGGAGGGCAGAGGCTCTGCCCTCCCATCCTGGCCCCATCCAGGGGACAGTTCTTTAAATGAGTGGCCGGGAGCATCTGCCACCTCTGGGAGAGGCAGAGAGCCTGTGGTGGCCCCCCCATTTAAAAGGGCAGCTGTACAGGGCTAGGTTGGTTCGTTGGTTTTTAAGGAAGATTCTGTATTAAAGGAGTGGCTCTTTTTTTTGTTTTTGTTTTTTGTCCTTCTCTTTTTTGGAGACATTCCCCTCCTCCGAACCCCCCTGAATCCGACCTCCTCCCTGTGGGCCGAGGGGGACGGGGCAGCCTGGAGGGGCAGGAGAGAGGCGCGGCAGCCCCCTGTGGGCGGGCCCGGGCTGGGTGTTTGCATATCTGTGTGGGAGCGAGTCAGGCAGGAGGAAGATTGCATATGTGAATATAGATGTCCACGGCCCCTCACGAGAGGACAGACCCACGGTCACGCAGACTCTCACAAAATAAGACAGGTAGTGGGGGGCGGGGCATCCACCCCGTGTAAACATGCAACACACTCGTGCGGAGGTTGGGTCCTGGCCCCGCGGGGCCCGTGCGGGGCAGCTGCCACCTGCTCAGGCTGAGGGCAGGGCCCCGGCGGCGGGGGGCAGCTCGCTGGTCAGGGTGTGCCAGCGCTCCAGGGCTGTGTCTGGCTGCTGCAGGCAGTCACTCCAGTGCTTCCGGGCCTCGTCCCGGGCCCCAGGCCCCAGGGACACGCCACCTGGGGGGCAGCAAGAGGCCGGCACCGTCAGGGCCCATCTCCGCTGGCCTGCCCCCTGCCCAGCCCCCCATCATCGGCCCCACCCAGCAGCCTTGTCCCCTCACCGATGAAGTCGTTGGATTTGCCGATGTCGTAGTCCCACACTGTGACTTCCAGAGTCTTGGTGGCCAGAGCAGAGAGCTCCATCTCGTAGAAGAAGTCCTGGGGCAGGGCAGGCCACAGCTTCCGTGAGGCCTCGGCCCCAGCTCCCCCCCACCCCCGGCTTGATTTCTGGGCCCTGCCCCGCTTACCTCATTAAATTCCGGATTGAGAGTCTTCTTCTTCACACACGTTTTATGCTTGGATTTCTTATCCACGTCAGGCCTCAGGTACCTGCAGAGGAGGGCGGGGCGGTCAGGGACGCATCAGGCCGCAGAGGAGGTCAGGCCCCCAGGGGAGGGAAGGGCAGGCTCACGTCTTGACGTAGGGGTCGGAGTAGCCGTTGACGTCCATGGCAGCCAGGTGGGCGCAGCGCACGATGCCCACCAGCAGCCCCCGGCGCCGAGAGCTGTAGCTGAGACTCAGCAGGATGCGCCCGCGCTCTTCCAGCAGCCCGGGCCCCTGCTCGGCCTGCTCCAGCTGTGGGGGGGACTCGGGGGTCAGCCCGCATCCCCGCCACCTCCCACCCACACGGGCGCGGTCCCTGTGGGGTACCTCACCTCCTTCAGGTAACAGGAGATGCCCCTCAGTGCCACTGACATGGAGGAGGGTGAAGCCAGCTGAGGGGACGGAGAGAAGGTTCTGGAAACCTGGCCTCCCCAGGGTCGCCGCCCCACCCAGCACCACCCCCCGCCCCACCCCTACACAGACCGGGACCTGGCGCTCAAGGCAGATGTTAAAATGTTTCTTCTGTGAAGGCTTGAGGCGGCGGAGGGGTACTCGGATCTCCCCAATGAATTCATTGTGGCTCAGCTTGTCCTCGTCACAGACGGAGATCCTGGCGGGGAACCGCAGGGTCAGGGCCCCCGGCGTACCTGAGCCTGCTCCGGTGGGGAGAAAGGTCCTCCAACCGAACGCGGGGCACCTGAAGCCAGTCCCAGCTCTGCCCTACTCTACGCCTCACCTGTCTCACGGGCTGTGTGGTGCCCTGTCCCGCTGCCCCGGCCACCCCCGGTCCATAGGGACCTGCGCAGCTACTTCAGGAAGCCCTCACAAATCCTGAGGACCGCCACCCTCCACTGCCTCCATTCAGAGCCTGGGGACGGGATCCAACTGAACAACGTGCCCAGAGCAGGCATTGGTGGGTGTGGGTCCCAGACTCCGTGTGCAAGGGCTGGAAGCGCCTTGAGGAGCCTTGGGCAGTTGGGCGAGGATCCCACGCCTCCTCTGGCACTCCTGTCCTTGTCTGCCTGGAGCAGGGAACCAGCCTGGGAGAGACACGGGAGCCCAGCGATTAAGAAATGACAGCTTTTAGGGGCGCCTGGGTGGCTCAGTCAGTTAAGCGTCTGCCTTCGGCTCCGGTGGTGATCCCAGGGTCCTGGGATCGAACCCCGCGTCGGGCTCCCTGCTCCGCAGGGAGTCCGCTTCTCCCTCTCCCCCTGCTTGTGTGTACGCTCTCTCCCTCTCTGACAAAATCTTTAAGAAATGATTGCTTTTAGGGGCGCCTGGGTGGCTCAGTTGGTTAGGCGACTGCCTTCGGCTCAGGTCATGATCCTGGAGTCCGGGATCGAGTCCCTCATCAGGCTCCCTGCTCAGCAGGGAGTCTGCTTCTCCCTCTGACCCTCCTCCCTCTCATGTTCTCTGTCTCTCATTCTCTCTCTCAC